CTGCGGCGCGGTGGCAGCCCTCGGGACTCTCCGGCTGTGGCTGTTCGTCCTGCCTTCGAGGCTCATGAGGAAGACGTCAATACCAACGGTGATCAAGGCGTGGTCCGACGGTCGACACGGCCTCCCGTGCCTCTGCGTGTGCTACGCAACATGGCTCCTGGCTGTTGGCATCGTCGGGCGGTTCAACTCTTTCAGGTACTTCCAAATGCTCAGGCCGTGGTATTATAGTAATATCGTACAGGCTGCGAAGGATACCCACCTCTGCCTGATGATCGTTTCCGAACATCCGAACAACGCCAGCGGAGACAAGCTGACTCTCATGGAAAATTTTATAACGAGCGTTGGCGTCCCCCCTGTTGTCGAACGCTCGAGTTTGACAACCGGACGGAGTGGTACCCATGGCGACGTACGGTAATAATGTTGTTGGTTTTGACCGACACAGGAAGTGTACTAAATAGTACCGCGCGATTCATGTATCCCGTAGCTCCCAAGTACCTGGTACATGTGATGTGTAGAGATCTCTGCTTGTTGAGATGGCGACTGCTCAAGTCCAGGGCGAGTAGGTCCTTCCAAACCACGGGATAAATGAGGATAAATGTTTTGAGTACCGGTTGATGGATGCGGAACGGCGTCAATGTAAAGATTAAATGCACAAGCAATAACACGAACGAACGAACGAACGAACGAACGAACGAACGAACGAACGCTTGTAAGTAGTAGGAGAAGCTGATGGCAACCGTGTCTTCCATCAACCTGGTGTTCATGCTCGGCCGCGAACGATTGATTGTGTTCCCGGACACAAACACCAAGGGCTCGGGCTATGCTGCTGGGCTCGACCGGTCCAATGATGTCCTTCTTCGCCCTCGTGGTGGGGTCCGTCAGCGTTACCCTATCCAAGGCTATCCGTGACTCCGAGCGATCGACACCGAAAGCAGCACCAAGCCCTTCTTCCCATGAAAGCTTGCCGGTGGCAAGAGCGGTAACGGCAAAAGGCTTAATCATCAGACTTTGGGAGAGATTGACATGTGGCGGTATTGGCGGTACTGATGGTGGGGTTAGAGGTGCGGGAGCTGCAGGAACTGTGCCGAAGGCCGGCGGTGCCTACGCGAAGACGAAGTTGATGCTCAAGAAGCTCACCGTCGTGAGCTTTGCTATGATTGCGGCGGTGATGGTGACTGTGATCGGGAGCTTCCGCAAGGGGACCGTAGCCAACGTGAGAAACTCCGAGTTTTTCCTGCCTCGATCCGCCGGCGGTGTGTGCCAAGTTCAGAGTAACAAGGGTGTGCTGGCTGCGCCATGCAGTACAGGAGCCCCCTCTGTTTGCTCAGTGAATGGCAGAACACCACAGCTTGTTCGTAATATTACATTGCTTTATAATCGGACAGCTTGCCTCCATCGATTCATCTTTGGTACTGCAACGGAGTGTTCGCAGTACTTTACACGGCGATTAGCGTACTTCGGCGGGTTGGTTGTTCACGTCCTCTCTACTACCGCGCGTTGCTTCAATTCCCGGCCTGCTTTCCCGCCCTGTGACCACCACGACCGTTGGTCGTGCTTTCAGGACACCCCACTCGTTTTTTTCATGACTCTCTACACGACGATGCCGTCGGTCTGGCTCATCGTCGCCATGAGGTTCCTCGCCAGGGACAGCACCAGCACCGGCACAGCGGCGGCGGCGCCGTCGCCACCACCCCCGCGATCGGCTCTTCTTCTTCACACGGTCAAGCCCAGCAGCAATATTAGCAGCGGTGGTTGTAGCGGGGACGACGACGATGTTGCAGAAGGATGTAGAGAAAATAATAACAAACACCTGCCCTCGTTTCTCCAAGGCGCTCTTCTCCGGGTAGCTAGCAAATACCGCGACAGCAGACAAGTTTGTGTACGAGTCACGCCCACCGAATAGTTGCAGTCGATTGGTGACGGTGACGTTGTCCCCGTTATTTATAAGACCGTCTGTGGACTCTCAGTTCCTCCTCCCCTCCATGTACATGCCAAGCAAGGCCGAGAGCCCGAGCCCGGCGGTGCACTATCTGTTACCGGGGGTCGGTCGTACTTCGTATAATTTCTGTCCGATGGAAGAGGAGCAAGAGGTATTATACGTTTTCGTTCAATGTATTGAGAGATGAAGGCAGTTGAATTCCATATTTTTCGTGAGCCCCTTTTGAATTGATTGCTGGACGAATGGACGTGGTCGCTTTGGAGGGGCAACAAACCTTCAACAGACGGTTGGGGATGGTGCATCATGTTGGCGCACTATCTGTTACCGGGGGTGGGTCGTACTTCGTATAATTTCTGTCCGATGGAAGAGGAGCAAGAGGTATTATACGTTTTCGTTCAATGTATTGAGAGATGAAGGCAGTTGGATTCCATATTTTTCGTGAGCCCCTTTTGAATTGATTGCTGGACGAATGGACGTGGTCGCTTTGGAGGGGCAACAAACCTTCAACAGACGGTTGGGGATTATTCATCATGTTGGCGCACTATCTGTTACCGGGGGTGGGTCGTACTTCGTATAATTTCTGTCCGATGGAAGAGGAGCAAGAGGTATTATACGTTTTCGTTCAATGTATTGAGAGATGAAGGCAGTTGGATTCCATATTTTTCGTGAGCCCCTTTTGAATTGATTGCTGGACGAATGGACGTGGTCGCTTTGGAGGGGCAACAAACCTTCAACAGACGGTTGGGGATTATTCATCATGTTGGAAGCGCAGCAGCAAGCAACCGTTCAGGTGTCATCAGTTGTTTCGCCGAGATTGGCACATTAAGAACGATTGGTTGGTTGTTGGGTATGGGAGTTTTAGTGGCCTAACTATCTAGAAACTTGGTGATCACGTCTGGTTAAAAAGCGATTGACTATTGGATTACGTACATGTAGTGTTAGTTTCTGTGAGAGCACGGCAAACTCTTCGGCCGTCCATGTGTACCGTACCACATGTTGGACTCGGAATCGGTGATTGGCCCCAAGACCAACAGGGGGCGTGCGCCAAGCGGGGATACTGAACGCGCAAGTCAGCAAAAAGTCGCACAGCCTACTACTACTGGTGCTCCCGTAGTAATAGTTGTCCCCGTCGGCGTGTGTGGCAAATGAAAACAAAACAAGTAATAAAGTACCGTCCATGGCGGTACCCAGCGAACGATATCGTGATGGGCGAAAGAAACCTGTTCGAACCAAAATGGAAACATGTATTAATTAGTGTATAGCATACCACTCTCGAGAGTATACGGGATAGCCCCCCACCCATATCCCCCCTTGCATTCATAGACCCCGCCCCGGGCGCTCTCACACACACGCACACCCCGCGCGAGCGCCTCTGATTTCGCTATTATTGACCAACATATCCATCTAACTATAAAAAAAACAAAACCTCGTGCATGGTACGCTCGGGGTCACTCTAGCATTGCCGCCGTGGTCACTTGCTATGGTACGAGTAGCATAGTGTACAATCCTGTTATATGTAGTGCGCAATTGACAGCAGACCCTTCGACTCATCAAGTTTCGCAAACTTTTTTCATCAACCAAAACTAGCCGCAACGATGCGTGTTTCGCTCCCCCTCCGTCCCTCGTCGACCTGGCTGATCGGACACACACGTATCTATTTTTACTGATCATCCGCGACTGACTTCGGTTAGCTCCATACCTACTTTGCACCTCTGAAACTATTCGCACGCGCTGCGGGATGGGGGGGGGGGGGGGGGGGGGGGTTCCCAGACCCCCCCCCCCCCCAAAAAACCCAACCCCCCCCCCGGGGGGGGAAAAAAAAC